ACTGACATTTATTTACATGTGTTTCTGATCATGTGTCTCTGATCCTGTTTTTCTGAACTCAAACAACCTTCATGTATCATTACTTTCTTCATTACATTCGTGTATGAAAGCACACTGAAACTGAAGTAAGGTTGTCTATAGCATTAGACTGTAGTCTGCCATTCTTTCAGGTCCTCGGATTCCAGGTCTCGCAGACAGAGCTGCATAAGTCAACAGAAGTTGACAGTATCTGTCATCTGAACAGTTGTGCAGTCATGGCTACAATTTGTTTCATGGGAAAAAATGCCAATTAAAATCAGCCAAGGACATTTATGGTGCTGGGGTGTGGGGGGTCGCTGTTCTTTGGGGATGTAGTTGCTGCTGTTGCCCATGCACCAACAGATGTACTCACATCCATGTACATAGAGCTAGCAACAATTGGACTCAGTGGATTTTTATTTTTAAAGAAGACATGAAAATGGGAGGTGATGTATTGAGGAGGATCCGAGGAGAATGGGATGGGGAAATTGGAGGTGGTTACAAACAAGATTTGCTATGCCTGTGCATGAAATTTTCAAATAATTAATTATAAATTCTAAAAGTAGGATGAAAATTAAAACAGGATATATATATATATATATGGAGAATCAGCCAGGGGAAGAAACGAATAGAGTAAACTCCAGGAAAAGTTCCAAGTGTGGAACTCTTACTGTACTTTTCCCATGGAGTCATGGACAGCATTCCTTTTCTATGTGACAACATGCACACAGGGAAAGCACATTTGAATGTTTGTTGGAGCCCCACCATAGGAAGATGGGAGTCAGGTCTGATAGGCCGTTCAGGTGACAGATACAAGTTTCTGATCCCTCAGGTGGTCAAGTTGATATGAGAAGACCCAAAAGCTCTCACTACTAACCAGTCTGTTACTGTCTGGTTTGTTCAGGACCTTCGAAGAGGGAGGCAGTGAGATATAAGTAATAGAAGATATCTATGCATCTTATGAGTGTCTGATGAACTGTGGGAACTGACAGTAATTCAGAGAATCTCCGGAATATAAAGTTGGTGTTGGGGATAAGGCAATGTTGTGTGGACTCTATCTACTAACTTTATACTTGGCTTAAATTGTCATATGTATACTTGTAAATGTGTTTTGTTTTATTTGGAGCTTTAATCCCACGTACTTAGAAAATTTTATAGTATATAATAGTCATCAGTTATAATGAAAAAAGTGAATAAAGTAAGCTGAAAGATGTGAGTCAGAGAAAATCTGCTTATGAAATCTGATATCAGAGAATTTTATCAGAAGAGCTTCAAAATAATGCACAACCAAGTTCCCTTTGTGCTCTGAGAATACAACATGCTTTAAAATGAATTGCCTCAGTCAAGACCAGCTGTCAGAAGTATTAGGGATTATATAGCATGTGTTTAAATTATTTAATTTTTACAGGCACTGTATGTCTGCAGTTGATAGGATCACCACCAGATGGTGACACTAACAATGAACCAGTTTTTATCTTCAGGTGTATCTGTTTATAGACAGATAAGCTATGTCTAATTTACTGTTCATTAATAATGAGAATTGTATAACTTTATCCTACAAGAATAAGTTAAGACATTTAAATATAGTACAAAATATCAAGATACTTCCTGTGTCAAAAGAGGGTTTCATGATTACAATCACTCCAAAGGGTAAATAAACTTGAGTAGGCCTGTGTAATTAAACCTTCCCCCTCCTCACAAGGATTTGGAGGTGATATTTATGCTTCTGCAAGGCCAAATTTGTGGTTTTTTCATCAATTCAACACAGATGGCTCAGGATGCTGTGTCACAATTTATTTGTAAATTTAATTTAATTTAATGTGTATGGGTGTTTCGCCTGTATGTACGGCTCTGCACCATGTGCATGCAGTGTCTGAAGAAGTCAAAAGTCAGTATCAGATCCTCTGGAACTAGACGTGGGTGCTGAGTATCCAACCCAAGTCTCTACAAAAGTAGCCAATGCTCTCAATAGCTGAGCCGTCCCTCCAACCCATGTGTTACACACTTTTTTTTTTTAATTGTCACACTTTTATTAAGGAAACTTCCCCATTTTAAGTAAAGAGGTAGTTCAAAGTATGTCTAACATACAACAGATTTAGAACAGCCATTCATGAGCTGAAATAAAATGCTCTAAGTTGTTTGTTTAGGACAGTATTTTAGAAATGGTGACACCAGCCACCTTTCACACACCTGATTTACCTCACAGCCACTTCAGTTGGGAGCTTGTTTTAATATTAAATAAATAAATAACAATAATTTTTAAAAAAACAAACTAAAGTAAAGAGAGTCCTCTTCCTTTTGAAGTGTTCCTAGGAATCCATACAACACAAATACTGAACCTGGCATGGTGGCACATGTCTTTAATCCCAGCACTTGGGAGGCTGAGGCAGCAAAGGGTACATAGTGAGAACCTGCCTCAAATGAAAAAGACCCAAATGCTGAGTAACTAAGGTTTACACCCGACTCCATAGAACCACAACTAGTGTTTAAAAACCTCTTCCACTATAAAATAACTTGACCTCTTTGCAATAAAATCTGACAAAGCAAAAGAAACCCAAGTCCCACCAAACTTAAATGTCTCACAGAAATAAGACCTCTCCAGCCAACAAATGGAAGAGACCATAAATTAGGTAAGTGGTTTGCACTTGCAACAGTGAGAAGTAAAAATTTTAGTAAAAGAAAACCTTAAGAAAGCTGACATCAAGTCAGTGGTTCTCAACATTCCTAATGCTGCGAACCTTTAATATAGTTCCTCATAAAGTAAATATCTGTGTTTCCTGATGGTCTTGGGCGATCCCTGTGAAAGGGTCATTCAAGCTCCTCTGCCCCCAATGGAGAACTACTGCTTTAAATGATGAAAGAAAACAAGGCAGTCATTCTTAGTTATGAAATAAATTGGAGATCTTATCTCACTAAAATCACTTGACACTGTAAGTCCTATAACAACAGGGATCATATCAATCTTACCTCCCTATCTTCAGAATCTAACATATTGCCTGGAAATACCACTTGCTTATTAATGTTTCTTGAGGCTGTGGGAGTAGCTCAGTTGCAGAGAATATGCTCAACGTGCTTGAGGCCTTGGTACAAACTCCCCAGCATTTAAAAAAAGAAAAGGCTTCTGAATGACGGAAATAAATCAAGATATAGCCTCCAACAAAGAAGAAGAGTATTATTTGAACCCATGCTGTTTTTAGTCCTCAAGCTACTAATAGTAACTAGATAAGAATAATAACATGTGGAGCCCCGAGATTTTGAAATGTTCCTACTGAAAAAAAGTTTCTAAGAAAATACTCAAAACATTGGATGGCATGGCAAAGTCCCATTGTTACATAGAATTGGTGCTCTTTGGATGACTCACTAAAATTCAGAATGCTAGAAACCATTATTAGACCATATAATGAGTGGTGTTGGGCATAACCTACCTACAAGTCTTATTAGTTAACTGTATTATTATTTAAATATTTAGTAGAAATTATGCCTCAAATCTGAGCCATGTGTAAATATATCAAATTATAACAAATTAAGACCTCCTGCCATCTATATATAAATTAAGTTTAGTTTTTGGATTATCTGTGCATGTACTCTCATAGCTCAAAAATAAAAACAAAAGTCTACTGGGAATAAAGTTTCTCAGACAAAATCAGTTTCACATTTGGATCTATCTCACATTATTCTAACATTTCCTTCCCTTCATACCCAAACTGCTCACTCACTTAGAAGCAATATAATACTCATCTAGCTAGAAAACAGTTAACAGGCTAGGATTGTACCTTAGTGGTAGGTTCAGTGCTTGCCTAGCACATATGAGACACTGGGTTTGACTTCCAGCACCAATACAGTAAAATAATTATATTTATTTAGGTCTTAGTCCAGGCTGGCCTCTAACTTACAGAAACACTCCTGCTTCAACTTCATAAATTCTGAGATTATAGTCACAAGCCACCAAAATAAAAACAGTTTAAATAAGTAATTATCACAAGTCCTTCTGTGACATTTTGTTGGCAAATCCTAGGCTGTCTCCAAAAGCCAAAAGGGATATATATCAGTGAAACAAAACTGCAAACTTTGTTAATATATTATTCACCATCTTTTAAAGCCAAGGTATAGCAGAAAAGATGTATGGGGATAGTCGTTCATATTTAGTCAGGTATATTTTGTCCAATGGTAGCCAGGCTTCCTGTTTGAATGTTCCTACTTAAATGATAGAGATAGTGTAAACAATCTTTCAAGAGTTTCTAAGTTCTCTAGCAATCCTACACCTTATTGTGACCCTTGGGTCAGAAACAAGCTCAAAATTATATCTGAAATGTACTTTAGAATAAAGAATTGTTTTTTCCATTCTTCAAGATCAACTATGAAAGGTGGCAAAGTGGACAGTGTATCATTGTATCTCTAAGACTTCCTAAATGCAAAAATTCTGGTTGTTCTTCTGTATCCCACTTAAATTTTTTTTCATCTGTTTTCAAGATGAAGGTACATGAGAAAAGGAAAACCAGGAGACACTGTAAACTGCACAAAAGTAATGGCCAAACTTACCTTTCTTATGTAATAAACTCTGATATGAAGTTCAGATTCCAATATAGTCCATTTCTATAAAGACCATTCATAATTCTTTAGCTCTCTTAAATATGCCCAAATTACTTCCAATTATAAACAGGGAACGTACATAAGCAGCTAGTCTCCTGTGGAACATAAAGTTTAGGGCCTTCCATGTGCCCACTTTTGTTTTATTATACTTCTATTGTTTGCTGATTATCCTTCCCACAGTGGTCCCTATTTGTCTGCAGATGTTGCTGAAAGGATTGTATTCTGGGTTATAATAATTCAATGGACTGTGTTAGTGTTTAAAGTACAAACCAATATACTTCTTCATAGCAGCTCCAAAAAAAGTACAAATGGTAGGAAGCAGACTCACTCATCAGTCTTAGATGAATCATAGTAGACAAAACAGAGGCTCTCTCACATATTTATGTCAACAGCAGTATAACCTCATATCCCAGACTCATTTTCCCCCAAAGAAGAATATGAACTTTTCTAAGCACAGCATCTATTAGTGGGAAGTAGGTGATGTTATGTTAGTACCTTCAGAATGTGCTTGATAAAAAGATTAAAATAGTGTCAGTCTAAGACATGAATTGACACTAGGTAGACAAATGGAATTATTCCTTAGGAAAGGAAAATAGACATGACAGGATAAATAACTCAAAAATGAGCCTGGAGAGGGCTAAAGGAAAGCAAAGCCACTGCAAGTGGGAGCTGCCTGGTCTGTTCGTGCTCAACCACAACCACTTGCTTGGAGGCTTTGGAGAAGCTATCCAAACCATTCCTACAAAGACTTAGCACTATTGCCACACTCTCAGTCGATTCTAGCTGTGAGCACTAGGCCCCTCCTTAGTTTACACATGTACTCTCACTCCTTAAGCTGAGGACAGCTTGGGTCAGTTTACCTGCATCCAGGACCTGTGTTGCATCAGGTTGTGGTTGACAACCTTTAGAGTCTGTGACTGTTGTACATGCCAAAGAATCAAAATCCACTGTGAGGTCTTGCACATTCCTCTCATTGGCATTATCAAAGCTGTTTTTGCCATGCAGCTGTTTAAGGTGTTTTCTCAAAACTGGCTTATGTGCAAAAACCATGTCACAATAGTTACATTTATGGAGCTTGTCTCCACTGTGAAGGTTAAGATGGTCCTGTAAGGAACACTTCTGAGAAAAGGTTTTCCCACAGATTTTACACTGGAAAGGTTTAATTCCGGCATGTACACGCATGTGTCGATGAAGATTGCCTTTCTGAGTGAAAGTCTTGCCGCAGAGTAGACACATAAAGAGTTTGTGCATTTTTAAATTGTTGGCGTAGTTCTCCAGGTGACGGAACACCCTGGTACACTTTGGGCATTGGTGATGCCACTGTAAGCCTTTGTCTACACCTCGAATATTAGGCCCAAAGACATCTTTTGAGGTCATGATGATGTCATCATTGTCTGTGTAAGAGAGGGCGTAATTGTGGAGATGGCTCTGGTCTAGTTCACTTACTCTGTTTTCCACAGTTGAGTTTATCAGGGAGTGCTGGGGCTCTGATGAATGTAAAACAGTGGGTTCTGAAGAAATGTACTGGTTCTGATCTTTTTTACTTCTAACCTCTGATACATCCCCAATAGATTCTACCTTAACAATCTGAATATCACTGTCCTCCATATCCATACTGTCTTCAGATGGATGAATACACGGTAAGTCCTGTTTTGGAGAGCCTCTGGCATCTCCCTGCTGTTCTTTCGACTGGGGAGACGCACTCTGTGGTTCACATCCCTTTTTACTATCCATTGGTTGTTTTGGCTTTATAAACTTCCACAGCGCCTGTGTGCACCGTTCTACAATGTGGCTCATCTGAAGAAAGCTCGCAGCAGTCAAGTAATTTACCAGCTCCATCTCAGGGAATTCCAGCATACCACTATAACAGGATAAGAGAAATTGTCTCCCCACTTCAGAACTCTGTAATATGGAGATTTTCACCTCTCGGGAATCATTCAGTAAAAACTGGTCTCTTAAGAAGGGGGAACCTGCAGCAAAAACAATTTTATGCCCCTGCACCTCAACATCATCTATGAGAACTGTAACATCACAAAATTTATTCTCTTCTCTTAATTTGTTCATTTTTTGTAACATTGAATCTCCATAATTTTCAAACTTGAAGTGAAGGAGATCTGATCTTTCAGACATTTTGGCAGACAGACCCGGGGGGGGGGGGGGGGAAGGCCGCCATCTGGATCTCTGTTACACACTTTTAACATAATCCCTATTAGCCTTTTAAATTATATCCAGATAATTAATCCCAGTACTCTTTAACACAGAGAAGGTTTTAAATTATATCCCCTGTATAGCCTAAGAACCAAGGGTAGTTAAGTAAGAATATACTTTATTTTTTACTTTTTGGTTCTTCTAGCCTAGGCTTATCCAGTGAAAAGAAAAAATGGAAGATAGTCAGAAATCTGGATATTATTGTCTTCTAATTTCTTAAACCTTAATTTCCATCATCTCATTAAAGGCCTTCCATCCTGTCAAAAGGGTTTATTTACATTCAAATCTTTATCGTGTTCTTTTTTAAGTTTCCTTACAGCCAGAATTGCATTTAAGATAGCTGAATCACTTTCTTAAGAAAATGAGACATCTAGATTTGCCAAAAAAAAAAACCAGTCTCTTATGAATCACTGTTAGAATGTTCAGTTTGATCTTGCTTGCTTGCTTCCTCCCCTCCTTTCCTTCTTTCTTATTCTTTTCTTTTGGATACAGGGGTCTCATTATGTAGCCCAGGCTGGCCTGGAACTTGCTCTGTAGACAAGACTGGCCTAGAATTCTACCTGCCTCTGATATTTTGGGGTTAAATGTGTATGCCACCACATCCAGCTTGATTTGTCTTTTTAATGAAAACTTCTTTCTTTGGACACAGGATCTCCTGTATACAAAGCTGTCCTCAAACTCCAGGAAGTAGATAATGACCTTGAACTCCTGGTGCATACTTGGAAAGACTCTGCCAACCTAGCTGCATGCTAAGCAGATTTGCCCAACTATCATTGTGTTCAATAGCTCTCCACTTTGGTGAAGAATGTTTATATATATATATATGTAATGAGAATTCCTGTAAGTTTAAATTTATATGCTACACCTTATTATAGGTTTGCTTTTAAAAACATTAATAATGACATTATCTTTTCTTAAATTTAGATAATGAGATATTGAGTAGTTATGAGAGATGGAAAAATTTCATTGAGGTCATTTATTAGAATGTTATTGTTGTTCTTGCAATATTTTATGTTTGTTTTTAGGCAGGGTCTTACTCGGTAGTCTAGGTGCCTGAAACTCACTGTAGAGGCCAGGCTTGCTCAAACTTGCATCTCTCCTCTGATTTCTCCTAAGTGCTGGAAATTTAGGCGTGAGCCAGCACAACTACCATTTATTTATGTTTTCATTGATTTATTTATTTACTTACTTATTTTGAGGTACTCATTTTCAAAGTATCTTTTCTTGATGACAAATACTCTCTGGAAAACGAAACAATGTAAAAGCTCACGTGAAGTAATTTTAAGAGTTTTGACTCAGTATCATGAAACAGAAACCAAAATGAACTGTTCTAAATATAATTAATTTAATCTGTAAATAACATATATGCCTGCAATACAGGTATACACAATCTAAGAATACATGAAACAACAATGACTTTTGTAAATAAATATCTAGGCAACATATTTGGTATGTTTATAGAAAAATTAAAATAAAATCATTTTAAAAGATCAGAGTTTTTGAAATATACATTATTGGTGTTCTGATAAAGTATTTGAAAAATTAATCTTGCCATGTATTCATTGCAATCACTTAATGAAATACATGTTGAATTGGTTCATTGTTTGAGATAATACATTGTTTTTAGGGAAGAAATCTTAAGGTTCTTAATTCTAGAAATAATATTTGAAGTAAGTTTTTTAGGCTTCAAGAATGCAAAGCAAATCTTATAAATCTTCAGCACAGAAACAGACTTCTTTTGTTAGACTCAGTGGTTTTCTTCTTTAGCCAGAAGCTTGTTACCCTAGCGTGGTGTACCTCTAAGGACTTAATGTGACAGGATTATCTCCCAATCTCCATTTAAAGAAACAGAGTAGTTGTTGGATGGTGATATGGTTATAGCTTGCTATAATTTGGACCCTGCAGGTTAATGTCAAGCGTCATAGTTCCCCAGGAAAGTACTTTTAGGGAAGGGGAACATGGAGGTGGGGCCTAGTGGGATGTCTTTATGCCATGGGTACATGTTCTAGAAGGGGTTATGGAACACCATGGTCCCTTTTATTTGCTCACATAAGATGAGAGGTTTTGTTCTACCCTGTATTCATTCCACCATGTGCCACCTTGCCACAGCCACAGAAGCAACAGAGTAGACAGATCATGATTGTTGTCTTTTGTTTTGTTTTGTTTTGTTTTTTACTCTTTCCTCTCTTTGGGGGGCTTGCCATCCAGCTCTTAAGTAATCACACATGGAGAGTTACTATTACTTATAAATGTCTGACCTTAGCTTGGCTTGTTTTTAGCCAACTTTTCTTAAATTATCCCATTATCGTTTGCCTTTGGGATTTTACCTTTCTATATGAGTTTTTTCTTTCTCTTTCATTTGTTTGTTTGTTTTGTTTTTGAGACAGGGTTTCTCCATGTAACAGCCCTAACTGTCCTGGAACTAGCTCTGTAGAGCAGGGTTGCTATCTACCTTTTTTTTTACTTCTTACTCTGTGACTTGCTGTGTAGCTGGGTGGCTGGCGCCTGGAGTCCTTCTCTCTTTCTCCTTCTTTTCTTGCTCCTTGATCTTCTCTTCCCAGATTTCTCCTATTTATTCACTCTGCCTGCCAGTCCTGCATATCCCTTCTTCTGCCTTGCTATTGACTATTCAGTTCTTTATTAGACCAATCAGGTGTTTTAGACAAAGTAACACAGCTTCACAGAGTTAAAAAAATGCAACATAAAAGAATGCAACACACCTTTGCATCATTAAACAAATGTTCCACAGTATAAACAAATGCAACACATTTTCAATTAAAATTCTACATCACATGAGTCCAAATAAAGCATATCCCAGGTATTTGTTAGAGGGAGAGAAACCTCACAAGTATTTTCCAGAGATGTTTGAATTAAAGATTACTTCTAATGCCACTTGCAATATGCCGAATATTTAAGAGTGATCTAGACACACTGAAAAGGGAAAGATATATTCAAGAGAGAACAAACGGAACCACTCACTAAACTACTTGAATTTTATAACAACAAATGAAATAACAGTAGACTAGGGCTATACATATTTCTAAATTTCCATGTTAGAAGCTAATTTGTCTTATTACACAAAAACATACTTCCTAGACCACTGAAAGGCTAACGCAGTCACTGAAATAAGCTTGTTGGGCTAGACTAGACAAATATGTATTCAAATACAACTCAGAGTTTTGGTGCAATTTTTTTTTCCATTTCCACAACATCTCTTTTCCCTCTTGTAGTAAAAAGCAGCATGTGTGCAGAAACTCATGCATGAAAGCAGTGCGTTCTTTTCATAAATAGGCAAAATATTAGCAAACTAGGTCAAGATTTGGTTTAGAAAGGTTTTAGAAACCAGACACAAAGTTGTTCAATCACCACAGTGTATGATCTTTAAGTAGTATATGAAATGCACTTTATGTATGCATTATGGCAAGTCAACCCCCCCCCCAAATAATAACCAGGAAAGCTTATGTAAGCCTATGATTAGAAGGAAGAGGGAAATGAGTCTTAGCACTAGAGCAAGTTTTGCAGTCCAAGGTTGCAGAGCTGTTCTGGCCCTGTTAGACGAGGCACTGCCTAACTACCCTCGCTTTCTGCTTCCCTTTTCCGGTAGGCTTTGTTTAACAGCTGGATCTCTTCCTGGTACCCTTCTCTGTCCTGATGCTGCCGCTTACTGTTCTGTCTGTGTGCTTCCACAGTGTCTGGGATGGAGATGTTGATATCACCATCAGGATCACTTGTGGGTAAGAAGAGGGAGTATGAGGCAGTTTCTCCTAAATCGCATGAGACGAATCTGTTTTCCTTTCTCGAGTAGCGCAAAGAAGGAGACCTGACTTTGGTGGAGGACTGGCTGATGTTGCTGATAATTGACACAGTGTCCAAAGCCTCATCATTGTCACAAATTTCAAGAACCTCCAAGTGTATTTTCACGCTGGTGTCCGCAAACGTAGAGGGAGACTCCTCCAAGTTTGGTTCGTGGCCCACACTCTTTGATCGATAGACTTCTATTTTCTTAGAGGCAGGGGTTATCTTTTGTCCTTCTGCACTGACCTCATAAGTAGAAAGAGAGAGAGTTTTCCCGGTAGGTGCCTGGAGAGACACGGTTCCCTGGAATGCACATAAGGGAATAGCCAGCCCACTGGAACGCTGGGGACAGAAACAAAATGGTTATATTATTAAAATTGACACATAGAAATTCATTTTACACAACAGAACGTTAAGCTTCCTACTTTGGATCCATTTCCCCCGAGAAATTACTTACAGATAATGAGATTCTGCTTCCGTGGCTGAGTTTCTCCTAGGTCACATATACCTAAAGAAGTGCAGTAACTTAAGAGAAGGCAAGAGATATTTCCAGATTTGAAAGAGAAACGAGTGTACTGATAGGAAGCAATAAGATAGATGGTCCTTTCAAGTGTAGGATTTGGGCATAAATTAAATGCATATTTACAATGTGGAATTGCTTTTATATTTCTGCTACATATTCAGTTACATTTAAAAGCATACATAGATCGTAGGAAATGTAGATGTTATCAGCATGCAGTGTTTCTTCCCATTAGTGTACCTAACAGAGAAAATGGTATTTGCAAAGCTATGATGCAAATTAAGTGTAGAGGCTATTTCAGCTGTTAGTTCCTAAGAGGAACCAAATGTCACCAGTTAGTTTACTTTTCCATCGAGAAGACAGTCATTAAGGTAAACCCAATTATAGAGAACTCCATGGCTCTGGGAATAGCCTCCCCAAAGTTTAGACCTCTCTTTATGAAGCAGCATTAAGAAATACTTAAGAAATGAAAAAGAAAATAAAACTGATTCTCATAAAAGTCTATAATCTTTATTGCATTTTCATACTTTCTACTGACCCCTTTTCTGCTTACATGTTAGTGATGAAAGGACATGGTAATATATAAATACTCAGAGTTCTCTGCAACAGATCACATCAGCATTAT